TGTACATCCCACAAACTCAATCTATCTAAATGTGAAAAACTTAACGTATCCCTCCCCCACAGCGAGAGTAAACTCATCCGGCCTATGTTTCCTTTTCACTGGTTTACATCCCACATGAAATATCTTGGAATTTCGGTAAAGACAGATCCGACATTGCTATATCAGATTAATTTTATACCCCTGCTCCAGAAAATACAACAAGATGTTAAGACGTGGAACTACCCTCACATCTAATGGCTAGGTCGTATAGCTGTAATAAAAATGAATGTCCTTCCTAGACTTTTATAACTTTTTCAAACAATTCCACTGGCATTACCTTTGACGTATACGATACGTCTGGCGAGGGGAAAGATCACGGCTCCGACATGCACTACTCTGTCTCCCCAGACACTAAGGCGGTTTGGCCCTACCGTATTTACGTAACCATCACCAGGTCACCGCCCTTCAGAGAGCCTTGGAATGGCACTCACACCCCAAGCAGAAGCAATGGGTGATGTTAGATAAGGGAAGCTTGGAGTGCTCCCTGCTCGCATCTATGTGGATCTTCACACATACATTGCCAGAGAGATGCGATCCAACATGCCTGGCAGTTCAGACATTGAAAATATGGGACAGACTCCGTGACACTCAGCACATCTCTCCTAAACCGAGCGTGTTGATCCCGGTGACAAACAACGCCCTCTTGGGTGGAGGTTTACCACCTAGTACATTAGCCTTCTTAGGTGATGGAGCACGTATACCCTTACGCAAAGCCTTGCAGCACGCAGGTATGAAACCACTACTGGAACTGGCACTCCACCGATACTCCCAACTACATCACTTCTATAATACACTCCCTAACAAAATGGCGGGACACTGCAAACTTACCTGGTTCGAACGCATATGCCTCGACAAAACGCATCTCGACAATACTATCTCCATACTATATCAACACTTGCTCACTGGACATCTTGAGAACAATCATAACTTCAAGGGCACATGGAAAACCATCCTTGGCTTAACCTTTATGGACACTCAATGGGAAAAAACTATCAAACTGTCTCATAAGAGCATGACAAGCTCTCGATACCAGGAAACCAATTATAAACTCCTCTCATCCTCGTACAGGACTCCTGAATACCTACACGGAGTGTTTCCTGTGGTCCCCAACACATGCTGGAGATGCGGAGTGGCACAGTGAAGCATATTTGGTGGGACTGCTCCCGGATACAGCCATTCTGGGAGGCAGTCAGGACCAAGTCCACGGAAATTTGGGGTGAAACCCCACCCTTCGCGATGGAAAATGTCTTATTACATTCTACCCTGACCACAATCGATGCATACAAGAAATCCATATACCGTCACCTCCTGAACGCAGCTAAATCACTGGTGCCTGCCATCTGGAGAAAAGACAAGACCCCCACGGTCGATAGATGGTTAGACATAGAACTACCCTACATCCCAGCTACATGCTCACGTATACTCCACTCTTCCTTCTACTCTACTATGCAGTTAGCGAGTGTTGTTTGGTCCTTCATTTGACATGGAGTACAATCTTGTACTGTAAGGATACACCTCTGCCAGATAATGAGAACCAAGCACTCACCACCAATAGGTCAAATATACAGATATATAGTACATCACAGCAACTATCACACACATTATACACTGCTAAAGCCCATACACAGGCTTCCCATTAACTGCCTCACAACAATTTTAGCACCCTTACCGTGTCCTCGTAATGTGAGCTGTAGTAGAAACACACCTTTCCATCCTTCTTCCATCCTTCTTCCCTCTATTACTTTTCACCTCTCACCTATAATACCACCTTTTCATATGCGATTCATATTCATATTGCAACATATTTTGACATATTGCACCTGCATATATTACACAATAAAGCTTTGAGTTCCATAAATATCAAACAATATAGTTAGCTAGAGCTTTTTCCACCCGAGGCGGTCCCTGAGTTTACCACCCCCCTCAGCTTGGCCTCATCACTAATACTATATCGTACTGTGAGGAATACAGGGAGCTGAGATATGAGGTGATTCATATCCCTGCCCCTCCACACAGCCCACGGCATGCTCCGGCAGGCCTGACTGAGGTGCTGACGAAGCTCGGAAACGATACATGAATTGACTGACAAGAAAGGAGCGGTGTGCACTCTCCTGCTATTAGTCACTTGGACATTGCACCGAACAGACACGCAGATACACAGACAGAGACAACGAGAAACAGATAGATACACATACACACAGATAGGTACACAGACAGACACATGCAGATACTCAGATATTAACAACAACAAAACTAATAAATATATATTGGCGCCACAGAAACAACAACCAGTGCAGCACAAATTTACCCAAGTGTTATGTCACAAAAACACTTATACATACAAAGTCTCGGAGTATAGGATACGGTGTAGAAGGGAACTATGCCCAAGAAAGAACATCACCGATATCAATAAAGTTTTATTGAAAACGGACATGCTGTCAATACCGGAAACGGATGTGCCTCCATTTTGGATTACGTCCGTTTTCGGCGCACACAATATCCAGCGGCAGAATTCTGATGATGTCCATCCTGGGGTGGGAACTCTTCTATGTTGGGAGGGTTGTGATTGGAAGGCTTGTCAGGGCAACTGATATTCATTCTCCATCTTTGTATTTGGAAACCGGAAATAAATACCCGGAAGTACCATAAATGGACAATAGATCTACACAACTGTTTCCTTTGCTTGCTATTAAGTTATATATAAATAGTATGTCTTTACCTCTGTTGGCAGATGCACCTGAGGAAGACATGTCATGGGTCGAAACTGTAAAATGTAATTTGAGATTGGGGATAATGTAGATTCTCTTAATTTCTTCTTGTCTTCAGTTGATTGCTAGATATACGTCTTTTGTATATATAGTCTTGGGCCAAATGCTCGCCACAATAATATATGTCTATATTATTGAAAAGTAGTAATACACAATCTGACTTACGGTTTCTTCAGGTTTATTCTTTGTTACGGATACATAATAAAACATAATAAAGGATGTTACAGGATAGTAGACATTCAACAGCAGATGGTAATTGCTGGACTTCTGATGGGAGAGTTACATCGTTGTACAGAGCCAAGAGCCAAGCCAAGACTAAGACTGAGAGACCTCGTGTCCCTCTGTTACTATATAGAAGTGCTAATACTAACGTCAGCATATAACTCTAGCCATATAAGGACAAAACCCCCGAATCCACATTCCAGAGCTCTCGGACAAAGAAAGCCTTGTGACTTATTGATACCATCTGTTACTTATGTCAATCCACACATCCATATATAATCAATAGAAACATAGAATATGCAATTTTCTACAGAAACGCGTAGTGCTTTTATTTTATATTTTACCACTTCTCACACATGCAGATACACACATTGACACACACTGATGCACACATTGACACACAGATACACACACTGACACACAGATATGCACACAAATAGACTCACTGATACACACACATACACAGATATATACAAATAGACACACAGATTCACACTGATACACACACAGATTTATACAAATAGACACATGCACACTGAAACACACACAGACATACACTGATGCACACATTGACACACAGGTACAGAAAATCATATAAAAACATATAAAATATACATTTTTTGTCACCTTCCTGTTTCCTACCTTTAGGGTACAGGGGGTAGCTTACCTAGGGTAAGGTTGGCTATCTCAGGATGTTGGGAGTCAGAGTAGCTCCCAGGCTGCGATCCTCTCCTCTCTGCCCCCTGTTTGCTGTCTCTCTTTTATGCAGCTCTTTGATAGCTGGGAGGAAGTGACCGGCTGCCTGTCACTTCCTCTCAGCAATGACATCATTAGAGGGTTGCTGACCGCATGTTTGAGCTCTCCCCAGAGTAGCTTGATGATATTAGGGTCATTGTTATGCTGGAAAGTCCAGCAGCGTCCCATGCGCAGCCTTCGTGCAGAAGAATGCAAATTGTCTGCTAGTATTTTTTGATAACATGCTGCATTCATCTTGCCATCAATTTTCACAAGATTACCCATGCCTTTAGAGATACACACTCTCTTCCCTTGCCCTCCCCCCCCCAAAAAAAAATATCAGCTAGTCACCAGCATGCTTCACAGTGGGGATGGTATTCTTTTCACCGTAAGCCTTGTTGACCCCTCAAATATAATGCTTATGGTTGTGAGCTTGTCACTCCAAATTACAGTGTTCCAGAAGCTGTAATAAGCTTTTTTGTGGCATTGGCACAGTAAAGGCTTCATTCTGGCAACTCGACCATGCAGCTAATTTTTTTTCAAGTATTGTCGTATTGTGCTCCTTGAAACAACCCCACTATCTTTTTCCAGAGCAGCCTGTATTTCTCCTGTGGTTACCTGTGGGTTTTTACTTGTATCCAGAACAATTCTTCAGGCAGATGTGGCTGAAATCTTTCTTGGTCTACCTGACCTTGGCTTGGTATCAAGATCCACAAATTTTCCACTTCTTAATAAGTGATTGAACAGTACTGACTGGCATTTTCAAGGCTTTGGATATCTTTTTATATCCTTTTCCATCTTTATAAAGTTCCATTACCTTGTTCAGCAAGTTTTGATAGTTATTTTCTTCTTCACATGGCTCTGTATCTAGCCTGCTCAGTGCATCCACATGAGAGCTAACAAACTCATTGACTCTTTATACACAGACACTAATTGCAATTTAAAAAGCCACTGGTGTGGGAAATTAACCTTTAATTGCCATTTTAACCTGTGTGTGTTACCTTGTGTGTCTATAACAAAGCCACACATTTAATGACATATCAACTTTTGATCAGAGCCATTTGGGTGATTTCTGTTATCATTATGATTTAAAAAGGAGTCAAACAACTATAAAATGAGTCAAACAACTAATAAATGTCTTCATATATCACTATCCTTCAATAAAATAAATTTATTTGCATGATCAGTCATATTTTCAAAATCAATGCCAATATTTCACAATTTCTGCCAGGGCATGCAAACTTTTAAACACAACTATAATTAGGGACAGAGACACCAAAACGTTTAGAATACATGTTTAAGATAACAATGTTCACGTTAGTGACTTCAGAAAGAATTGTTTAACCCAAAATATGGTCGACTTCAAGCAGTAAATATTACATTGGGACCCCAACAGAGATAATAGTGAAAGTGCATTTAAACAAACACGCTATCATGCCACTTATCAATTAGTTTAATATCTAACATATATAGTTACATGCTTTCATAGAAGACAAGTAAGACTTTTTTTTAACATATTAATATAGCTTATACACATATCTAATATAGTGCATTAATAATACACTTTACATACACCATACAGATTAATATGCTATTGTTCCTAGTGACACCTAGCAAGAGTGTAACAAAAGGGCCTTTAATTGTTAACTAATATAACTCCAAGTTTTCTGAAAACGTTAATACTGCAAATGAATACATATAGAAGATTTCAGCCTCATGTTAAAGAGACACTGTCACAGAAGACATTTTCCAGTGTTTAAATTTTTGGAATGGTTAGTGGAGTCACTGAGGTAATGACGCTGGGTCCTGGCAACACATGCCTACATAGTTTCTGATGGTAAAGTAATTCTGAAATTTTTTTTTCTCACTTGCTAGATAATTTGCCTGCTGCTTCTGTGCTAAGAAGTACGTTGCTATCTCACTTCATGGAAAGGTTAAATGTGGACGTCTTAAGGGGACTTAGGTATCGCTGAAAAAGCCAAGCCATTATATTGGCCATTAATGCAAATATGAAATATAGAATTTGAATATATATTCTTCGCAAAATGACAGAGAAAATTATTAATAACTTTTTAAGTAAATACTGTTTGCAAGAGAACACCATTCAAATTTAAAAACAAATTTCCCCTAAAAACATTATTTTTCTGCAGAAATATTCTAGAAGTTCACCACAAAATGCTGAAAACCATGGTAGTGTCTCTTTAAGAGAGGAATGCTGCTTTATGTTGGTCTTATTTTTCTTGAAAAATGCACAAGTCATATACCCAACATTCATTTTTTTCAAGCTATAAATATTACCTTACAGAGCAATAGGTCATCTAACCTATGTAAACTTGACCATTGCCCAAGTGACTAGCTCATTTGTCCATTCAGGCATAAATTCCACATTAATGTTGCCTTCTAAAGAGTTTGTTTCTCAGGTCAGAAGATCTTAATCCGTAAACAACAGGACTGAGGCACTGAGCGAGGCTAAAAATAATGAAACTAGTCACGTCCAAGGAAATGTATCTGTTTGTTCCACCTATTGAAATGTTTATTATCACCGGGAGAATGTGAAAAACAATCTGTATCCCATGTATGATGATGGTTCGTCTGGCTTGGACGTTTGAGCTGTTAAAATGTCCAGCTCTTCTCCCTTCTCTGTATAATAAAATATAGGAAGCCAAGATTAAACCAAGGACCATGAGTGTGAAAATGACACCACCTATTCTGGAAGCCAAGCTTGTAAGACCTGAAGGGCAAGTTGGATCCAAGAGTACAAGTAATTCCAGAGGTTTCTTTATACTTTCATATATTATTGATATAAGAGGATCAAGCAGTGCAATCATCCACATGCATGCAACAATTTTGCGCTTAACGGAGTGGACAAGTGCATGATGTTTCAGTGGCCAGCACACGGCAACACAAGTGTTCAATGCCATCAAGACAAGGGTTAACAGAACTCCTCTACCAATCACTATCTGTACAGCAAAGATGACCCAGCACACAAGGACTGGAACGTTAAATCTAAATGCCCGTATACCACAAAATATGGTTCCCAAACCAAAGAATAAAGTCAAGCAAACAAGATGGTGGCACAAAAAGTAGAAACGTACTTCCTTTCTCAAGGCAGCATCCCTCAATACAGTGTGCAGGATCAGAATGGTGAATAGAGAACAGATAAGGAAGTCTACCAGGTATACACATGCCTTGATTGTCTCTCTAAGATGACTTAAGCTGGAAGCATTGGTGGACGAGTTCATAGTTCATTCACAGGGCCTAAAGATAAAAGAAAAAAAATAATAATTAACTAATTATACACCATATAGAGGGGAACCATGGCAATATGACACGCTTTAATTCCAATATTTATAGCTCAGTGATATTATAATGTTTAATTACATAAAATTACATGCCACGCTCAGCACAAAAAGCGCTCGGTGAGGGGGATCTTGGCATATGATTATGGCTTCAGTAAATAAAGAAGACTTGGATATTTTGTTTCCTCATGTTCCAGATACTGCCAACTACTTGATTTATACACATAGATGAAGGTGATGAAAGTGTTTTGACTGCAACAGAGGAGTGCATTGTTTTAAAATACCCATCAGGTTTTATGTTTGGCCCCTAAGAGATGGGCACTTCACGCCCACTAGCTTTATCACAGGGCCCTGTCCTCAGACACGAGGAATAAATGGGATATGCAAGTGATTGGATCAGCAGGGGAAGGCGAGAGGGTAGGTGATGACCACGCATGCTCAAGGTGAGAGCGTCAAAGACCCATTATAGAGGCACACAATAAACCATCTCCTTTCGTGTAATGACTCATAGACGTACGGACGAAACCAGGTAACCATAGGGATCACTTAATTAGCTGAGATAACTGGGCACTCTACTGAGCAACATAGGCCTGCTGGATGAGCATAGCTCTCGCTTGTTCTCTTCATTGGGCAGTTTAAGACTCAGATAATGTCATCAGCAAGACAATTAATTAATTCATTAATACATGGGACAAAGGCATGACTGTTACTATGAATGGCAAGTGAACATGAAAGGGACACTAACAGGTCCCGGAAAAAGGGAGGTCTGATGAAGTATGGGGACTGGGCGGGCAGGATAGCGACTAACCCCAGCACTGGATATAGCGAAGCGTGACTGAGGGCAATTGTGTGACCGAGAATGCATGTGGGTACACGTGGAAGGATATATGAAATGAGCGGGTGCTTCTGGGTCTAATGCTTTATAGCCGTGTCTACAACTGCTATGTTACCTTCTATGTTATGTTATACAATATTTTCACTTAAAGGACCACTATAGTGCCAGGAAAAAAAACTTGTTTTCCTGGCCCTATAGGGTCATTAGGTCCCCACCCACCCTCAGGGCCCCCCCCCCACCTGCTGGGCTGAAGGGGTTAAAACCCTTTCAGCCACTTACCTTTCTCCTGCACCGGGCTCCCTCTGTGCTGGTGACCTCTCCTCCCCCTGCCGACGTCAGCTCTGAATGCACATGCTCGGCAAGTGCTCTCTGAAACTGCTATGTTTTCAGCTGCAGGGTTAAAACTGGAGGGACCTGGCATCCAGACCACTTCATTGAGCTGAAGTGGTCTAGGTGCCTATAGTGGTCTTTTAATGATGAAATTTAAGACATTTTATACGAACCAAAACTGTGGCCACTTTGAAATTGTTGACTTCATTGTTATGCTGCCACATCACAAATAAAGAATAAAAAAGTTTTACAAATACCCATCAGGTAATGCCAACGGGATAGGGTTGCCTAAATGTTTAAATTTATCACTGGAGTTCTGAATACCTCTATTCTGCATAACTTGTTTATTGACATCATAATTCTAATGCATTCATTGTGGCGTAGGACCAGTACAGTGTCAGTACAGTACAATGTGCATGATGATACACATATTTAGATCCTTGAATATATTTGTGTATTCTCTAACCACTGTCCCATATCCTAAGGTAGGCACTGGAGGTGCTTTGAACGCTTACTTCCTGTCATACTATGCAGAAGTTACTATTCATTTAATAAATTATATTTTTAGCAACTATTTTTTTTTTGTTGATGTCCATTAAATTCAGTGATTTCTTCATTAATGAATGCTAGCAACATGTTCCAGTTCTATTTGTTAGAAGGGTTGAAATGCTCAGAGTTGGATTCTGTTTTGTTTTACAATATTATCTTTATGATTCATTTCCACTTGCTCTCCTTGATGAGTCACATTTCATTGCAGTTAATCAAGTAAGTGTCAGGATCGTTCTGTTCAATAAATCAGGCTGCCGGGATACCCTTCCTGAAATTGTCTATCTGTTCTGTATCTGTTCTTAGCTATAGTGGAGCAAACTTAATTCCAGCATCCATTGCACACCTGATGTACCAGGTGCCTGAATATAAACATGGTACATTCTTCAAGCCTGACTGCTTCACACAAAGTTTGTACAAAACATTTTTTTATTTTTTTAACAGATGACTTCTATTGAAAAGGTTAAAACACAAAACAATAACAACAATAATAGAAAAACATAGGGCTCAATTCTCTTAAGAGAGTAAGAATTTACTCTCCTTACTGGGTAGCAGTACCTCCGCTGGTGACCCCAATTTAATGTTTTTGGGGATAAGCTTTTCAAATGACCAAATATTTTGGGATAGCATTTAAAAAAAAAAATATTTTATAAAAAAAAAAAAAAAAAAATATTTTTTAAAAATAACTATTTCAAAAATATGAAAATATTTTTCTAAATATTTTTAAAGCATTTTAAAAGCTTATCCAAAAATGTTAAATAATTTAAAAAGCTTACCGGAAAAAATATTAAATCAAGGCCGAATTGAAATTCATCCCATACAAAGTAGTGTTGTAATATTTCTCAACAAATTACAGAAAAAGATTTCTCCAACCGATTACACAGAGTGAAGAATTTTTTTTTACATCATACAGTGAGGGAAAAAAGTATTTGATCCCCTGCTGATTTTGACCGTTTTCCCACTGACAAAGAAATGATCAGTCTATAATTTTAATGGTAGGTGTATTTTAACAGCGAGAGACAGAATAACAAAAAAAAATTCCAATAAAACGCCTGTCAAAAAAGTTATAAATTGATTTTCATGTCAATGAGTGAAATAAGTATTTGCTCCCCTGGCTCCCAGTTGTCTTTTATACAGGTAATGAGCTGAGATTAGGAGCACTCTCTTATAGGAAGTGCTTCTAATCTAAGCTCGTTACCTGTATAAAAGACACATGTCCACAGAAGCAATCAATCAGATTCCAATCAATCAGATTTTGCTGCTCCATATCTATCCTGAATTTTAGTGAATATTGCCATGGGAGTTGCAGTCATTATTTTAGCAATAGGGTTAGAAGTAAGGAAAGTCTATTCTGTTTATCAATATGAGATTATTTCAATGTCAGACAGACTAGGATATTGAAAGATACAGTGCTGTGTGATTGATAGATGATCTGTGTATACAGTGTGGTTGATTGGACACTTGTAGATTACATATAGGTGTATTTAGCTTTACAAATGACATATACTGTATTTATATGGTGTATTGGTTCCTTGGTGTTTTGTAGATTATACATAGGTGTCATGCTGTTGATTTGGCGTGATTGGTTTGTATTATGTTGATTGTATATGGGAGCTGTGTATTTGGGTTATACAGGGTGAGTCAAAAGTCAAGAACCACAAAAATACCTCTGTGACAATAACATTTCACTCCACCAGCTTTTTCAGTTTTGTCGTATTTTATTGTATTGTATTGCGTAAAATGTCTTTTGGTCATGGATCGAGGGAAAAAAACAAAGCAAACAAAACAACCTAAAACAACATATGGCACGTGGTTACCCACCAAACAAATCAATAAAAAAAATGGAATAACGAGAAGAAGAAAAAAAACCTTTAAAAAATTGATTTTGTACAGGAACAGTTAACATGGCTCATGAGATCTTGGTACTTTGAACTAGCACTCCACATTACCACATTGCTAGAATATAAATGCAAAATTTAGGCAAAAATAGCTGATCTGGAAAAATGATCCAATTTAGACATTGTCAAAACTTGTCACAAGTTGGATTTAATTTCCTTGAATTTGGAGTTTAGTGAATAACTCTGTATGACATCAGTATTCCCTACTCAACAGTCATATCTTCTGTACCCCCTTTATTGCATTCTCCAAATATTCTAAGAGAAGCCTGTGTTCACAACTGTTTCACATTTAAATTATTATTCACTAATACACTAAATTTTCATTGTTTTATTTTGAATATGTCTGCTAAACAGGCTTTTTAAGTATATATCAAGTATATATCTAACTTTTAAATTGTGATGGAATTTCGGTGAAATGTAAATTTAGTAGGCTGAGATTTCCACGTGGCATATGTGTATGTTGTATCAGTTAGTTAGTTACACGTAGCTAAGATACTGTCATCAATGTACTGAGCATGTGCAGGAATGCAGGAACTGAAATCACATTCCTTTCTTCTTTGTTTCGGATGAGCCATGTGGTCTGCCCATATAAGGAAATCCAGATCCTGTCCACCGATTGGTTAAGGGTATGTGCGTGTGGAGCTATTAATGGGAGGAGTTATAGTTCTATAAAAAGCATGAACTCCATGTGTTCGGCCCTCAGACCTGTTTTGGAATGTTAATTCATCTGAGACCCGATCGGTATGTTAATAAATCTCTGTGTCTGGCTTCTGCAAATTTCCTCGGTTACAAAATGTCTTCATTTAAACACCAAATTGCTGTGAACTGAAAACTGAATTTTTTAATTTATGCCAAAATAACCTATTTGGGAAAACCCTGTCTTTTAATTATTTACAATTCATTGCAGTGTTTTTTTAAATGCTAACTTTGTCCATTTGTGCAGACACACACACACACACGGACACTCTGACTATATATACATACACTCACTTATGCACTCATTCATCTCAGTGACCACCCACTGACCCATACACACCCTCACTTACCTATGCACCCACTCACTCATTTACTCACAATCAGTGATCCCCATCAAACACTCACACCCAGTGATCCATACTCACACAAACTCACTGACCCATGCAGACTGACATAAGCACACAAACCGTGCAGTCCCAGTAACCCTCATGCCTTTGTTTCACAATAAATACACCAGATATGTGCACCCTTATGTTATCTCTTTTCTTTTTGTTGGCTGCCCATGGGTTCCAGGCACTTTGACTGTACCTGGATTATTGGTGGCCCATCTGTCCTGTCCCAGCTGCCCCATGTCCTGCTATTTTCCTGCCTACATGTTCCCATGAACAAGAGACGGGGCATGATAGAGTGAATGATGCACCCTTGTGCTGCCACCTTGCCCATTAGATATCCAGGCCAGGGTGGAGGGACCTAGCTATTAGGAACAGTACAGACTTTGTTGGTTGAGGTGAATATCGGGTGGTAGTCAACCATATAACGGTGCTGTGGCCTGCCAACACCATCTAAATCATGGTCCAGACCCATCATGTGCAGCCTCACTTGAGGTGGGGCAGTCCAGACGAGGAGTACAGCTACTGCAGCTGCCCCCTCTTAAAGAGCACCCTCAGTAACCACCTAACTCGTCTAAAGGATATGCCGACCCTGTTAGCCAACATTGAACTCTTGCTGCTGCCAGAGATAGACTTACAACGCTAAATATCTTGGTTTGTGCAGCATATCATATCACACATGGTCATAGTGCTTCAAATACTCCACTCACTTCAAAGCCATTAATTCATACACGTAGAAGAAAGTGGAATAGAAAAGTGTGCCTTACTCTAAGTGCATTTTTGTAACTACATAGAAACATAG